GCTGCTCAATTAGGTGGGTGTGATGTTAAACTTTTAGTCGACACAGGCGCTAAAGTTTCAATAATACCGAAACAGAGGTTGCTTACTATTACGAATGGGGGATTGGGCTCGGCTCGAACCTCATGATGGCGTGGTTAGAGTGGCTAACGGGGGACGCATGCCGATTTTGGGATGCTGGCAAACTGTTTGCCAATTTGATTCCCTGGCTGTTATTGCAGAGTTTCTTGTGGCGGAGTTGGAGCCTCAAGAAATTCTGCTGGGCTCTGACTTTTTGTTAAAATTCAGCGCTGTTATTAATCTTGATCAAAAGAACTGCCGGCTAATGGGAAAACAAATTCCTCTTTTGTCTGCCACTAATAATGGCAATCCTGTGATGTGATGGTACATGTCGATACAACTGTCCCACCTTGTAGTGAGGTTTTAATTACAGGGGCGGTGGAAGGGGTGTCTGACAAAAGTTTGCAGGGCATGTTAGAGCCGTCTGCCTCTCTTGGTACCCATTGCGACATTTTTAGTTAAGTAGTGTGTAGAGTTGAGCCGGGTCTTCTGCCCGTTCGTGTAATTAATGTTACTGATGACACCCATATTTTAAAGCGTGGGATGAAAGTGGGTACGTTACTTTGTGACATTGTGGTGGAGGAGGGAGATGGCCTCGCTATGGGTGCAACGTTCTCTGTTGACACACTTATAGATGGGCTAAATCTAAATGAAAAGGGTTTTGGGGATGCTGAAATGCACGGTGCGCGAGTTATTGTGCAAGAATATGTCGGTTTTTAGTATAAATGATACAGATTTGGGGAGGACACAAGTAATAACGCAGATCGAGACCAGGGATGCCCAGCCTATTAAATTACCTCTGCATCGTGTTCCCCTTCATTTACAAGCTGAAGTGACTGAGCATATCAAGGATTTGCAGGTAAACGGGGCAGGTCAAGATGGACCCCAAGGATAAACATAAGACCGCTTTTATAACACGGGCAAGGGCTGTTTGAATTTAATGTTTTGAGTTTCGGATTATGCAATGCACCTAGCACATTCTAACGCCATATGGATTTGGTTTTGGTGGATTTGCAGTGGACCATTTGCCTTGTTTATTTAGATGATTAAGATTTAGATTTATAAATGTGCATTGTTTGCCACTCAGGTTCATTATTTGGGGCACGTTATATCGGCGGATGGCGTGCGAGCGGATCCAGCTAAAATAAATGCAGTAAGGCAATGGCCTGTACCGAGGAATCAGTCTGAGGTGCGAAGTTTTGTGGGTTTAGCATCTTATTACTGGAGGTTTATTAAGGGGTTCACCAAAATTGCGCGGTCATTACACCGTCCCACAGAGAAAGGTCGGAAGTTTAAGTGGGATGATGAGTGCCAGCGGGCGTTTGTACAGCTCAAAACAGTTCTTGTGACAACTCCAGTCCTTGCATACTGACCCGCACAAGCCGTTCATTCTAGACACTGATGCGAGTGATGTGGGCATCGGTGCAGTTTTGTCACAGGTGGAGAATGGCTTGGAGCGGGTTGTGGCATATGCGAGTCAAGCTTTAACAAAACAGGAGCGCAAGTATGCCACCACGAAAAAGGAACTGCTTGGTTTGGTTGTATTTACTAAATACTTTAAACATTATTTGCACGGGAAAGAATTTATGTTGCGTACAGACCATAGCTCTTTAAGGTGGCTTCATAACTTTCAGGGGCTGGAGGGACAGCTGGCTAAATGGGTTGAACAGTTGGCCAGTTTTCAATATAAAATTGTGCACCGCCCCGGGAAAAAGCATGTTAATGCGGAATGCGCTTTCACGATTGCCATCATTTGGTGCCAAACGGGAGGATTCGTTAGATCCACAGCTGGATGTCAGTGCTTCTGTTTGCGTTGTTTGTGCAGCGGCTCCTTCTGAGGGGATGGAGATGGAGGATGAGTTGGTGGGGTCACAGAAGAGGGATGCTGTCTTACAGATTGTAGCACAGCTGTGGTTGCGGAGGGAGGAGGGGCGTGCGGAGGCATAGACAAGGGCGGAAGTGAGGGGATGTTTTGCCCGTGTGGGACCAATTGGAGTTTGAGCGAGGTCGGTTAGTGCGTAAGCCGCCCCTTAATACTGATGCAGTGTTAAAGATTCAGGTGGTACTTCCAAAGGTCATGGTCCCAAATGTGTTGAAAATGTTGCATAATTCTGCAACAGGTGGACACCTAGGTGTACAAAAATTGCAGGCGAAAGTGAAAGACAGGTTTTTTTGGCCCGGGTGGTATGAGGATGTGAAAAAGTGTTGTAGGGAATGTACGGAATGTGCCTCTCGTAAATCTAAGCTAAATGTTCGTGCCCCTTTACAGCCTTCTGTTGTGTCTCTGCCTTTTGAACATAGCAGTAGATATCTTGGGCCCTCTCCCCTTAATTTGGGAGAAAAATAAGTATATTCAGGTGATCGGGATTATTTCTCGAAGTGGACCGAAGCGTTCGCTATTCCAAACCAGCAAGCAACGTCTATAGCCAAGGTTCTTGTGCAGGAGTGGGTGTGCAGATTTGGGGTCCCACGCAGTATTCACTCTGATCAAGGTCGCAACTTTGAATCTGCGCTATTTACAGAGTTGTGTAGGTTGCTGCAGATGAATAAAACCAGAACGACTGTGTGGCAAGCAGGACGAGGCCGAGGGCCATGGGAGGACGGCGCGAGGCCGGTGGCGTGATTACTGATGAGCGACACTTGCGCGACGCACCGGTCTCGCATCTCTCACGGAGGAGCGGAAGCATAAAAGGAGGAGCGACGACAGTGGAGATCGAGAGAGGAACAGGCCTGATTTTATGTTGTGTTTTGTTTCTGTTTTGTATGTTTCTTACTTTAATTTTTGTATTTGTGGATTTATTTTATTAAACTTGTTGAACGTTCACCGGTTCCCATAACAACGAACCCCGTTACAGACTGCTTATCATCCACAATCGAATGGAATGGTGGAGCGGTTTAATCTGACTTTACTTTCCATGCTGGCTTTGTGGATGGTAACCAGCAGAATTGGGACATACTCCTGCCATATGTGATGTGGGGAGTAAATGTGTTAGATAGTAAGTTAGGGGAGCTCCTGATCGGCGCAAATAAAAGTGGCAAGAGCCCTAAGAACCCTGGAATCGAGCAGAGAGATTATGCTGCACCTGATGGACTGAGTCGACTATTCGACAAAGGGTATTTTCCCCACTGATGGACTGAGTGTTTCGAGTGCCTTTGCTGACAAAGGGTATTTTCCCCCGCTGACGGACTGAGTATTTTGAGTGCTTTTGCTGACAAAGGGGTATCTTCCCTGCTGACGTGAGCTCATCTACTACGTGGGATTCTACAAGCTGATTAAGGGCGGTAACATTTTATGAGATTGTGCTGTGTTTTAACCCTTAATAAAGAATTGTGTGATAACTGTCATTCTGGTGTACTTATTATCTGAGCCCTCCAGTCCGTGTGGTTGTTACACTATTATATCTATATCTTTCTTATAGATTACAGCATCGTGTAGGCTACTATTATTATCTTACATTATAATTGCGTATATTCGTGGAATATAGCTTTTGCTAATAGGGTCATTCCTGGTATGCGGTGACTTTCCTGTCCCAATGATTTATTTACTCATATTTTCTCTAAAATGAGTCACATATTTATAATAAATGGCTTAAATTGTAGATTTAAGTATTCTTTACCATTTAAACAGAGATAATAGACATTAAAAAAACTATTTTGTATTTTACACAATTTTAATTGATGTTTGCATTAAATTATATCATGTCCTCAGTGCACAGTAATCAACTACTTCTGCAAGAAATATAAACCATGAAATGACAAAAACCTCAAAATATTTTTAAATTGTGTTATAGACTAGGCTAAATTGCCTCTAATCATACATATAAATCATGTGAAAATATAGGTCTTTTTCTTAAAATTTTCTTCAATTACTGCGTCCCTGAAGTCATCTTCCACCCTATTAGTATGTACTTTTTTGCCTTCCATATCCGACTGCAATTTCATTGAGACCATTTTCAAGAAGTGACTTAATTTCTTTTACCTGCTGGAATTCAACTGTACAAACTGAGGTAAGCTTCAACTCTCACTCCTAACTTTTTTTTTTTTTTTTTTAAATGTTATCCTGCTTGTCCCACCCTTAAAGTTCCACCCCGTTAGGCTATGTTATGGAGAATGTTTGTCATATCAAAAAAATGTAAAAACAAATCTGACATAGTTCTGTTCATCTGTAGAAGGTTAGCTAGCTAAATGTTGATCACTCAAAGAGCTATGGCTAACTTAGCTCAGAATTTTCCACCCTGTTAGGTCTATAAACCTAACAGGGTGGAATGTGAAACATATTCTATTCATCAAAAATTGTTTTGCTTGTTTCAAGAAGAAAAAAAAATCTAAGATGGCATAAGGCATACTATCCAAGAAAAGCTCATTATGTTTAACATTTACATTATTAACATGTTGTGATGACTACGTAGCCTACATGTCCCTAACAGGGTGGAATATTTCCATGGACAGTGTCTGAACAATCTACCCATAATTATTATTAAAGAGTCCCTGAGCTTGACCAATATGTATTCCTTATAGTTAAACATGTCACTGGTAAAATGCTAAAAACATGAAAATCATGTCCTTTTTTCCCAACACTTATGAAGCCAAAATGTCACCGCATACTAGGAATGACCCAATAGCCTTTCAATTGTAATAATTATTTTTATTAAGTGAAATGTTTGAAGAATCATGATGCTGTCTGACCTCTGTTAATCATACGATTTGCTAATATTATTCATTTCCTTTCTGTCGGTCACGTGTTCTCTTTCATTCATGTTTCACTTTACAGGTTTGCTACAAGTATTTTGCTCTGTACAAATGCAGAGATAAAAGAAGTGATCTGGTTATGTGCAGTTCTTTAAAGACCGAGGGAGGTGTGGCGAATTAGGTCCCATGATTTGAGTTAGTTGAGGTAAACACCGCCCCTACTACAACATCCACACAAACTCGTCAGTTGAGCCTGGTTGAGCTCAGAGCCTCAGACTGGAAGCAGAATAAGTCAGCTGACCGTACAGCGTTCAACAAACAGCCATGCACTTTCTGCTCAAATTTGCGCCGCTGGTTTTAGGGGTATCCGTCTGCCACGGGTGGCTCTTCGGCGACTTTGTTGGAAAACAGAAAGAGCTGGATGAAATCTCTCTCTGGCCGCTACCGCAGAAATTCCAGTCGTCCGCTGTCGCTTTTAAACTCAGCCCCGCCAGATTTCAGATCGTCCACGCGAAAGACTCCTCCGCCGGACCGAGCTGCAGTCTACTGGATAATGCATTTCGCAGGTACTGTAACATATCTCATTTATATTTATGCTGACATTGTGTTATGAAAGACGCTAATGTTGAGTTTTAACAGGAAGTACACCACGTCAAACATACAGTAAGCAATCGATTTGGGTTCATGAATTGACCATTTGCCTTACAGATATTTTGAATACATGTTTGGCGAACTGAAGAAGCACGAGAAGAGCCGAAAGAAAGCGTTTGATTCCGATCTTGTGGAGCTTAAGGTATGGATCACAGCAGCTGATCCGGAGTGCGACGGTTACCCGAGTCTGCAAACCGACGAGTCATGTGAGCTCTTCTCCCTTCCGCCTCTGTGATCCAAAACATAACCTCAATGCTCTCTAATCCAGTAGAAGATGGGAAAATCCAATAATAGACACCTGTTTGTCGGAGTTGTAATCTGGTTAATGTATTAACGCGACGAGGTCTTTTTAGATGTATTAACATTTGACCAATGCAAAGTATTTTGTTACGTTTTTCTTTTTAATATGTTACCAAAAAGAAACACTTTGTTTTTGTGTCATTGTTACATAGTTACTATAATAACTGTAAATTATGCACAGTTACATCCAAGTAACTAACCATAAACCAAAGCCTAATCCTATAACAAGTACTTAATATACAAGTAGTTACTTAATATTACTTAGTACTTAAATGTATAATTACAGTGTAACAAAGACACATTAAAATAAAGTGTTAAACTGCATCAAAGTCAATCACTTATTGTTACTTCAATCAGATGTGTTGTGATCAACCTGTGTGGGCTGGGCCTGGGCTGGGCGTGAGCCAGGGAATGTTTTGGTTGTCCTTGTAACTGTAAAATTTTGCTCTCTTTGTGTAGATGAGCTGTCAGTTGATGAACCCTCTGCTGTACTGAAAGCTGCTAATGTATGGGGAGCTTTGCGAGGTAAGCAAAACTCCACAATGGTGTTCTTTTAACTTTCTATTTATCAGTGAACCCGACAAAATATTCCACAAAAATATTGAGCAGCAAAACTGTTTTCAACATTGATAATAATAAGAAATGTTTATTGAGCACCAAATCAGCTTGTTCGAATGATTTCAGGATCAAGTTAGACTGGAGTAATGAATGCTGAAAATTCAGCTTTCCATTTCAGGAATGAAATTTACAATATATTGCAATAGAAACCAGTTAAATTGTCATTGTTTTTTACTTTTTTTTTTAATCAAATAAATGCAGCCATTTTGAACATAAGAGATGTTTTTGATTCAAAAACAAAAAGAAAATCTTTTGAACATTTGAATGGTAGTGTACATTTTACAAACTCCTCTAACAAACACAGACAAACTTTAAAGTATTTTCTTGATGCGTAGGACAGGGACAATTTAAAATAGGTCACAGGCACAGCTTATCTCGTTTAACAACCCCATATACTTTAAGATAGCAGGCCAATTCTATGCGATCCCAACATAATAAATGATGAGAAGAAGAGACTGCAGTCTTCATATCCTGTCCATATAAGATGTTTTATCATCATGTGTGGTTTCCTCAATGTGTAACTTCCATATGCTTGTTGTTGTAAGGACTGGAAACATTCAGCCAGTTGGTCTATGAGGATGACTATGGAGTTGTAAGTTCAAAGCAAACCCTTATTTGCTGCATTCTTGTACTTGATTAAAGAGGTCATATAATGCCATTTTTGTACAAGTTAATATGAATGTTTAGGGTCTAAATGAAAACTTTGTAATATACTTTTATTAAAAATTCTCATTAGTATTTTAAGAAAACACAAATTTTACCTGGTCAAAAACAGCTCTATTTTCAGCACGCCGTTTCAGTGCATATGCCTTTAAATGATAATGAGCTTCGCTCACCCCGCCCCTCTGCTCTGCGGGCGTTTTGACACAACGCACGTGGAGTGTTGCCTTGACAACAGTTGAGGGTATATTTTGGAGAAAGAATGGCAGCGGGTGTCTCTGAGGACACATCTGTGCAACTGTATCAGTTTGTACCGGAGTCGGACCCGGAATAAGATGACGGCCGCAAAGAAGTTCGACAATAGGCTCTATGCACGAACGCTGCTGACGTATTTCCGGTAGAATCTCAGCCAGTGTCTTTACCTCCGCATAGCGCGTTCTATAGCGAAGTAAGTGTACTAGCGACCAAACTTTAATAAAATTCATTTTCTCAGAAACGAGACAACAATTTTAGAAACTGATTCGCTAGTTGTATTTCGCATGATATGAGCGATTACTCACCCTCAAACAAGGGCTCACCCCCTGTAATTTGCCATTATCTCCACTTAATGCAAAAACGGCTTGTGACGCAGCACCGGATGTAACTGGGTGGGCTGAGACAAAACACTGAAGCGATCGTGCATAGTTTCTAATGGTTGGTTAACATAATGTCACTTTGATCTATTTTTGTATGTACTGGCAGGGTAGAGTAGTGAGATACGAACGTTATGTGTTTACAGATGTATACGTTAGTTCATTGACAGATTGACGTTACAACTAATGGTCATGAAAAACTTTTTTTCGCGCTTTGCAAAGATTAATATAAAGGTTAATACAACTTTACACTTACTTCTTCTGGAGGTGCAGAGGGAACATAAATAGTTGGTACCGATTCTTTTTTCAGGAGCAGCTTCTTAGCAAAACCAGCTTTATACTGACCCTCGGGTGAGAAATTATTTGCGCAAACATGAACGCATTGACGTTGATCGTGGGGAATATTCCCTTCGAAAACAAAACTCAGCCTCTGTGTCTTCAGCGGTTCAGATTTAGGAGCATCAAAATGACTGCTGTGTTCGTTATTACACCCAAGAACAGAACACCACAATCGCTTAGACGCCATTCTGCTCCAGCGTATCAACAATGGCGGACTATGATGACAGCTCGCTCAGGGGGGGTCTGTGTTGAAACACTGCTGTCAATCAACAATCGTGGGAGGGGCGTCCGACTGTGTGACGTCACATGGTCGAACGGCTCAATTTGAGGCAGGGGAAAACATATAAGGAGATTAAAACAAAAACACTGGATGGATTTTTATCATTATACGATGGTTGTGTACAGGCACTGCCAACACACATTTCAGTACAATCAACTTGTAAAAGTGCATGTACCATTATATGACCCCTTTAAGGCTTTATATATGAATTAATGTCAACTATTGATCCGTCTAAGTTCTTCTCAAATCAAAGCATGTTTTTGTCTTCTCAACAGAACAACATCAATAAGACAGTAATCTCAGATTTCCCACGGTTTGCCCATCGAGGGATCCTCCTGGACTCGTCTCGCCACTTCCTGCCACTCAAAGTCATTTTGGCCAATTTGGTGAGCTGAAATTATTTTCTTTATAATCACAGGCTTGACATAAAAACATACATGGGTCTAGAGGGGCATTTTCTTTTTTACCAGCAAAATTGGCTGTGATTAATTGGTGACAGCATTTTTTCATTAATGTAGTTTCCTCATTAGAAGACGTGTCAGCTAAATAGCTCATGGATGTTATTTTATTTGTAAGACTGCAAAGTCAGGTTCTTCACGTTCACACGTGACAGTAATCGCAAGACAAGATGACGCTCAATACAAGGTTTGTCTAGAAAAAATTGTGGCCAGCGCACAGTGGTGAGAATTTGTTTGTCCGTACCGTAGCTTTGTAATTTGATCTAGAATTAAAGGTTCCTATCAATGGACATTGGTGCAATGACCTTCCCAGGTTTTGAAATGATTCTTATTCCACAGTGTTCAGTAAAGAGACATCTAATTTTCACAGGAAGCTATGGCGATGAACAAGTTTAACGTATTCCACTGGCACATTGTGGACGATCAGTCATTTCCTTATATGAGCCGCACATTCCCTGAGTTAAGTCAGAAGGTGAGTATGTGATGCACACACACACATGACCTGTTTTGGATTCAAGCTTGACTGCCTCAGGGCACAAAATATATTGTAGATTTAATTCATACAGGTTGTTAGTGGATTACCACGCTAGAATCATAAAAGTGTGGCTCCAACTCCTATTATCACCTTTGTTGGTGGTTAACCTATGTAAATAGGTGAACACAAGTTAATTTATCAAACTATAAGTACACTGAAACATTCCAGGTTTATTTAAAGACTTAAAAGAGAGAAGGCATCTTTTAAAATACATTTTTTAAATAGTTTTTAAATGTATAGTTAAATGTATATACTTGTTTTGTATTTTGCTGCATTGAAAGCGAAAGGTAAGGAATAAAAATGTACAACAAAATTATTATACTGCCGTAGGATGTGTCAGCTTCCTTTAGAGTAGAAATTTCACCTTAAAGGAACACTCCGACTTTTTGAAACTTTAGCCTATTCACCTTATCCCCCAGAGTTAGATAAGTCCATACATACCTTTTTCATCTCCGTGCGTGCTGTAACTCTATCTGACGCACCCACCGCTAGCCTAGCTTAGCACAAAGACTGGATGTAAATGGTTGCAGCTAGCATACTAATCCAAATAAGTGACAAAATAGCGCAAACATTTTCCTATTTACATGTTGTGATTTGTATAGTCACAGAGTGTACAAAAAACGAAGTCACATGAGACACAGACATATTTTAACCGTATAAATACTGGGAACTATATTCTCTGAAGGCGACTATATTCTCTGAAGGCGAAGCACTGCTACTTGGGCGGAGTGATAGCCGCAGCACCTGAGACGAGCCGTGGTGAGGAGCAGAGAGCGCGTCTCAGGTGCTGCGGTTATCACTCCGCCCAAGTAGCAGTGCTTCGCCTTCAGAGAATATAGTTCCCAGTATTTATACGGTTAAAATATGTCTGTGTCTCATGTGACTTCGTTTTTTGTACACTCTGTGACTATACAAATCACAACATGTAAATAGGAAAATGTTTGCGCTATTTTGTCACTTATTTGGATTAGTATGCTAGCTGCAACCATTTACATCCAGTCTTTGTGCTAAGCTAGGCTAGCGGTGGGTGCGTCAGATAGAGTTACAGCACGCACGGAGATGAAAAAGGTATGTATGGACTTATCTAACTCTGGGGGATAAGGTGAATAGGCTAAAGTTTCAAAAAGTCGGAGTGTTCCTTTAAATCAAAAGCATTAGCTTCAGTTCACATGCTTTGGGCGTAGAATCCAACTGCCACTGTAAAAATTGACTGGGGAAGTGTTTATTTTTGTGTATTGATCACGTTTTCCCTATTTGTTTTGTGACTGACAGGGAGCCTATCACCCATTCACACATGTGTACACTCCATCTGACGTGAAGATGGTCATTGAATTTGCCCGTATGAGGGGGATCCGGGTCATCCCGGAGTTTGACACCCCAGGACACACAGAGTCATGGGGCAATGGTTAGTTGGTGGACAAGATAAATTAGGGCTTTATACAGTCATGTTTCAGTTTCCGAATAATATAACAACTGTTTTCTCTCTGTCGCTCCTTTCCATAGGCATGAAGGATCTGCTAACACCCTGTTACAGTGGTTCTACTCCTTCTGGAACATTTGGGCCAGTAAACCCCATCTTAAACTCCTCTTATGAGTTCATGGCCCAGTTTTTCAAAGAGATCAGCACTGTCTTCCCTGATGCCTACATTCACCTGGGGGGAGACGAGGTTGACTTCAATTGTTGGTGCGACAAAGAGAGGAGCTTCTTACCCAAATCATTTTCCAGAATATGAACCCAATGCCAATAATCATATTGTATATCACACAATACTTACATTTTACTCCTTGTTCCTGTAGGAAGTCCAATCCTGATGTTCGGAAGTTTATGGAGCAGCAGGGCTTTGGCACAGACTACAGCAAACTGGAGTCCTTTTACATTCAAAGGTCAGAGCTTCAGTAAAGTCATGAAGTCCATTTATTTGTGGCTTGTAATATAAATAACAAGATGGTTATGATAGTTTGCCTATTTTTCCCCCCATTAGTATGTGATTGTAGTTATAGTTTAATATGTATTGTCTCCCTTAGCAATTGTGTTAAAGTATAAATCAGAACACAATATGGCAAAGTTATTCTTACATTATTCATCAATGACAATCAGGTTACTTGATATTGTGGCTGCTACCAAGAAAGGTTACATGGTGTGGCAAGAAGTGTTCGATAATGGGGTGAAGGTAAGGCTCATCTCTTCTTATCTGTGTGGATGTGCTTGTGCTGTTAGAAAGTAATGTATTGTAGATCCATAAAATTCATATTCAGACTTTACAGTCTTATTGGGATCTTGTTTATTGGGAGCTTAGTTAGACTAAGCTGTTATTATTAAATGACAAATTCTAGTAGGTCCACAATGCCTTGTAACTTCAAATGACTTTAAGAAGGTTAAAGTAGATTAGGCTTTGATTTAATCACAAATAGCTTGACTTGCGTGCTTGCTTTTTCACAAGCCACTGCTAACATGCCACTAAATTGGCATTTTTAACTGTGCTTGCAAGTAAATGTATTTGTTTGCTCGTAACAATTTAACAGCCAAACAGAGAATTTTTTTTTAATTTGGGCACATAATGTGCTTTATGCATGTTCCAGCTGAAGGATGACACTGTTGTGGAAGTGTGGAAGGGGAACAAGATGGAGGAGGAGCTACAGAATGTGACTGGGGCAGGATTTACAACCATTCTTTCTGCCCCTTGGTACCTGGACTACATTAGCTATGGACAGGACTGGCAACGCTACTACAAAGTTGAGCCACTCAGTTTCCCTGGTCAGTTTATTCAGCCAAAGTCTCATTTAGTTTGTTTTAGCACCATTAGTTTACTATTGATTTATCCTATAGTAATCGTTTGCAATTTAAAGTTAAAGTTGGTCCAGATTAAGTTTTAGAGTTTTAATGAAATATATTTTAAAACGATTTGTATAGGTTTTCAAGCACTATACTTTTAAAAATAAAATTTTAACCTGGTTTTTGCACTGAAAATAGCCATGTAATGTGGCCTGGTGTTAAATCACAAATAGGTTTGGGGGTTGAGGATGTTGTCTGGGTAGAGATAGTCTATAGAGTGGTGCAGGTATGACGTCATTTTGTTGGCAAAAACACGGAAACGCATTTTAGCACTTCCAGTTCCATCGTCCCTAAGTCAATGGTTTTTTTTAAATGGGATTTTGGCTAAATGGCTGAAATAAGGTCTGTGGTGAACACAAGGTCAAGACACTTTCACGTTTTATTCTATGACATAAAATACATCAATATTACCCCACTCGGGATTTTTTTTAAAGCTGTTGAGCGTCTTGAAAAAGGCGGTTGCTCACAAGTGGCTAAATAGGACAACAGAGGCTGTCAAGGAGATTACAGTTTTTCTCGATTGCTTAAACACATTTCTTGAAACTATGCCTCGTATTCTCAAAACAGTAAACACAAATCCATAACGTCTCACCCAATTCCCCAAACATCCTATTTTCAGGTCAAAATGAAGCTCTACACTCAAAACCATTCACTCTAGCTGAAAAACCAAACTTTGCCCTCAGACAGCACACACAAGCCCTCAAAAATACACACACTACAACATAGTCTTACACACTGGTGCTATAAATTCAAAACAACATTTCCACAACTGGTAAGTCATGTTGCTTGCGCATGTCCCCCCCCCCCCCCCCCTTTTTTTTTTTTACTCTCTCCTACTCTTACGTAAGATGTGTGTGAGCATCATATGACAGTAAAAGAGCACACACAAACCTTATTCAAATATGGAATTGTATTGGAATGGTAAAGAGTGTTGGTACATGCCTCCACTCAAGGATACAATATGATGAACAAGTCTAAGAATGTTCCACATATGGTTGAAATACCATCATTGGCCTAGAAAGATAACATTCTGGGAGTCAAGACTATAAAGGAGAAAGGATGCCCTCCCTTCACTGTCACACTCTGCAGCCTCTGTGTGACTGTACGACTGCTGGCCTTTTCTTGCAAGAACATAAACCTCATCAAAGACAATTGGAAATGTTTATCTCTTATTCAGTGATAGAAATTTGTTTGCCACCACACCTCCCTGAAGGTTCTGATGATGGAGGCGACGGTGAAGCGACTCAAGTTTGTCTGTACTCGTTGCCCAGCCTCCCTCATAGTCATACCATGGACAAGGACATGGCCAACTAAATTGGCTTGAATTTCATCCGAGACTGCTTGTCTTCTTGCCCTTGCCCTTCTTCCTCCTTCTCCTCCTCCTCCTCCTCTGCCTCTTCCTCCTCCTATTCCTCCTCCTCTTCCTCCTTCTCCTCCCCCTCCTCCTCCCCCTCCTCCTCCCCCTCCTCCTCCCCCTCCTCCTCTCCCTCCTCCTCCCCCTCCTCCTCTCCCTCCTCCCCCTCCTCCTCTCCCTCCTCCTCCTCTTCCTCTCCCTCCTCGACCTATTGCTTAATTTCTCTGTGGATCCATTGTTCCAAAATTCAGTAAACCAATTTTTATCTTTTATAAAATATTGTATAACCTTTTATCTATCTATTGAAGGGTCTGACTGATGTGTGTTCAATTTTGACTCTTAGTGTTTTCACCTGGGTAATTGTGTGCTAACTGAGCTGAAGCTGTGCTGACTTGAGTGAACAATATTGAATGCTAGTGCTTTCTAAATGACCACGTGGTGTAGGCAATGAGAAATGAAGGGATTTGTGTGTAGAGTTTTGCTGTAACAGTTCAACAAATCTGACTAATGTGTCAAAACAGGGGAATAGTGTTCATAGTTCAGTGAAATGGGTGTGCTTTTTGATAAATGGCATTATGGTTTTGAAATTTTAGTTCAAAAGCCTGGTTATAGTGTTTAAGCAATCGAGAAAAACTGTAAAAGTCATCATGCCTTGTTATGCTTATAATTGTGCTTTTCTAAACTCTTCTAACTCGAGCTGTCTGGGAAAATGTTTTTAGATAAAAACTAACAAAAATGATGGAGTTGTCGGAATCTTAGTGCTGGTGACGTTGAAATCGCGCGACCGTGGTGTATTTCGTTTATAGTCTACCCTTTAGCTTTTTACTTCTGACGACTGCATTTAGGCTTCAAAATTCATAAAAGTTGTGTTCATTTGTGAAAATTATCTTGATGGACAAAACAAGCAAGTATCATAAACTTTTGCTGATCACAGAGCTCGTTTTTTGCGATAATCCAAAAGCCTATGGGAAAATCCTATTGGGTTTTTGTCGAGGCAACCAGTGTGATGCTAACTGCTGGTTGGCCTACAAAGTGACATCATACCTGCACCACTCTATTGAGAAACACCACCTTTTTAATGGAGGACATGCGCTCTTGTCATCGACCATGTATTAAATATATAGAACTTCCTGTAATTTCTGCGCAGTTATTGTAGTGTTTAATTGTGATTCTGTCAGTCTCTCTCTATATAGCTCGTTTTTGTTTGTCACTAGTACGTTGTCTTGTTTAGTTTTAAGTATGTATGTTAGTGTTTGAGCACCCCGATCAACTCATGCCACATCTTGAGTTCAGTTGTTGAAGACATTGCAAACATGTTTTCCCGTACGCTTTGGAAAGAATGCGTTACAGCAAGTGTCACTAGCAATTATACACTACCATTCAAATGTTTGGGGTCGGTTAGATAAAAAAAAAAAAAAAGTATTTGAAAGAGGTTTTTAATGCTCACAAAGGCAGCCTTTATTTGATCAAAAATAATTTCTTTCTGAAAATAAAACCTCACCTTACATTTGAATAGTTCCTCCTCCACCTTGCTCCAGCCTTGTTAAAATCAATACACCAATATCACTGCAAAAAACATGCCTACATCTTATTAGATGCTACTGTATGAAACAACAGTTTTAAAGGGATAGAAATAAACATTCTGTCATCATTTACTCGCGCTCAAGTTGTTCCAAACCTGTGTGAATTTCTCTCTTCTGCTGAACACAAAAGAAGATATTTTGAAGGAAATGGGTAACCAAACCATTCATGGGCCCCATTGACTTCAATAGTATGGGAAAAAAATTCTATGTTCAGCAGAAGAGAGGAATTCATACAGGTTTGGAACAATCTGAGGGTGAGTAAAAGTAAATGATGACAGGATTTTCATTTGGGTGAAATATCCCTTTTACTGTTGTCAGGCTCAAATGCCATTAACTAATGATCTAATGAGGAAGCATGCATGTTGATTCAGTCAAAGATGAGCATCTGACAATATGAAACTCAATGGGCATATTTCTCTGGACTACATGTAGTCCAGAGAAATATGTTTGTGTGTTATACGTTTGTGTGTTATACTGTACATGCGTGTGTATGTGTACACATGTAGCTGAAAGCCGAAACACAGATCCATGTGTGGAAAGTACGGCCGCAGTACCAAGATGAGATGGCGCAGGTAACGGCAGCTGGTTTCAGTGCTCTTCTCTCCACACCCTGGTACCTCAACCGCATCAGCTACGGCCAGGACTGGGTGAACATTTACAAAGCCGACCCCCAAAATTTCACTGGTGTGTGTCATTCGCAGATAAAGATTATGTGGATTTATTTGGGCCTCTGTTTCTATTCGACCTGTTCTGTTTCTAATTTGTTAAATCAAACAACATTTCAAGGTTTGGGGTAAACAAAACAAAAACAAACAAACAAACAAACAAACAATGACTGTTCACACAATACATGATTATGCTAGCTATGTTGGAGTTTACCTCTTTTAAAAAAAAAAAAGAAAAAGAGTTGAGTCTGTTAATGGGTCAATCTGGTGAATTGTCTTGTTTAACGTAACTGAGGTTAGGTTTTGAAGGTCAGCCACACTGAATCAAAAGCAACAGTGAATAGCAAAGGTGGCATGCGATTTTAGACGATCATTTACACCACATATCCTTAAATCAATGAGTATCAGATCTTTCAGTCCAAAGCTTTGTTATAGTAATGGCATTGTCAGTGACCTGTTTTCCTTTAGTAGATATGCAAACAAACATGCTTGTCACGTGACTATGGCACTTTGTACAGACTGACAGTTATTTGTCTATCCGGCCACAACCCAGTTAAATGGTTTTCTTTGTCTCCAGGTATTCTGGTGTTTGTCATATGGATACAATAGACACATATAGAGTCTTACGGCTTAAAGATTCAGTCTCAAACAGGACAAACTCATTGCTTCTTAGTCTGACCCTTTTTTTTTTAAATCCTTTCAGTGTTGTAAAACATTCAGTGAATTGAATTTGTTGCCCACCCATGAAGGGAAGTCTTGTGACAGCTTCGAGCTGTTTGAATTGTCTTGCACTAATCACAGTCTTACAATTAAACAAAATCTATATACTCTTAATTATGATTTTTTTAATGGTATTTTGACAACAGGCACAGATGCACAGAAGAAGCTGGTGATTGGAGGAGAAGCTTGTCTCTGGGGAGAGTATGTAGATGCCACCAACCTCACTCCTCGACTCTGGTATGACTGCAACCTTAACTAAGAAAAAATATATAACTCAACCGTACCAACAAGTTACAACACAAAGACTAACCATATACAAACAAGCGATTAATTAATGGTGCAATATGTAAAACAAAAGTGAAAGCTAAATTATGGAGTTTGTACCAAAACTGAAACCAAACCTAGTATTTATTTGTATATTAAGAATTATGTAAATATGTGTACTTTTGTGGTTGTGCCATTGCAGGCCAAGAGCCAGTGCTGTTGCTGAGAGGTTATGGAGTGATAAAAGCGTGACGGACGTCAGTAAGGCCTATAATCGTCTGGTCCAGCATCGCTGCCGCATGGTCAAGTGAGTTTAACTATGACAAGTGGCAAATTCATTCATGCAATCCCAACTAATACTACAACATATGGTTCCATTTATCTTTTTTATTCTTGCATTGTTAATATGTGTAATAATCATGATGCTTAGGAGTCCTGTGTTTATTTTTGGATTTATTTGTTTTTATTTATTTTTTAGATTCTTGATTGCTTTATTCATTTTTAGTGATTATATAACATTAATTTCTTCTAAGGCAGTTTTCAGGTTCAGTTCATTTCTTATTTACTAGCCATTTCCACTAACATACAACAATACAAAGTAAATTCTAAAGATTTGCACAGGCATATTTTTGTATATTTCACTGGTGAAAGTGATTTTTTCCTTTTTTTCCCAAATCAGGAGAGGCATTCCTGCAGAACCTCTATTTGTCGGCCACTGCCGTCATGAGTACAAGGGCCTGTGAGCTTCAGGATTCAGTTCACAGTAGACAATTAAAGGGAATCGCAGGACAACACTTTTTAAAACGTCAAACCATGTTAGCCATTCCAATGCCATGATTTGCTGTTGTATGCACTGAACCAGTTATACAGAACTTGATTATAAATTTGAAATGGACACTTCTGTGCATCAGGATTATCGCTGTAGGATTAAATTGTATTAAATGGTAATTAATATTCTTGTGAATAAATGTTATGGAATTTGAAGTCTTTGAAATGAGGTCTTCTTTTTAATTACTTTCCAAAGCTAGGTATGTTATAAGTGTTTTATAAATTAAATAAATATTTAAATAAAACATGGCTGCATTGTTGTTGTAAAATTGTTATATTTTATAAACACTCACTCACTCCTTCTGGACCATATGGAAGCAGCCAATCACAGAACAATCAAAATTTGTATCTGTATATATGGTCAGTTCAGCTGGTGACAGTTACTGGTTCAAGCCAGTCCAGCCATCTTGTTGAGCAGTATGTTCTGGTCCTGAGTGTTCATGGGCTCATAGCTGGACAGCTCCAGAGAAAAGTTGGCGTTCCCAGAGGTCAAAGTGCGCAGAGCGGTCGAGTAGCCCTTGAGGCAAAAAAGAAAATTTATACAACATTTGTATTCCCAATGTAGTTATGGAGTATATGGTAATCATTCGGTGAGTTAAATTTGAACTATTACTATACATATTGATTATATAATGTCAGTTAAATTGTGCTATTACTGACACATTATGTCATGGTAATATTTTTAGTGACAGACAGCACTGCACACTTACCATTATCTCAGCCAAAGGAACTGTAGCCATCAAAACCTTATTTTCCTGTCGAGTTTGGATGTCGCATACAGTTCCACGTCGCTGGGCGAGATCTGCAAGCACAGGACTCAGATGTTCCTCCCCTACCGTCACTTCCAGAGCCATCACCGGCTCCAAAACCTGCCCTCCAGCCAACTTCAGAGCCTGCATGCAAACAGAGAAGGACAAAGTCAGATGTGACGTTATTTGAAAATGATTGAGACAGGATAGTGTTTGAGTACCTTTAGCATGCAGCGGGACACACAGGCTGACACCATGGCTGCAGAAGTGCCTGGCTCCAAACCTACATGCTGGATAACTGTCTGTACTCCCTGTAGAGGAAAACCCAGCACAGGACCTGCACAGAGGAAGAAAAGGGAGATGGGTTACTGATAAAGCATTTGGCTGACAGGGACATTATACCTATAGACAGGCCCAAGTGTACCGCAAAACTATAGCTGAACAGCCAAAGTATCAGTTATACACCACCGTTTAAAAGAGTTTGGGGTCTGTAGGATTGTAAGATTGACTGGAAGATGTTTTTTAAAGAAGTCACTAATGCTCACCAAGGCTGCATTTATTTGATCAAAAATACAGTAAAAACTGTAATATTGAGAACGATTTTAAAATAACTATATTCTATTTTAATATATTTTAAATTGTGATTTATTCCTGTGATACCAAAGCTGAATTTTCAGCATCATTACTCCAGTCTTCGGTGTCACGTGATCCTTCCAGAAATCCTTTGAATATGCTGATATGGTGCTCAAGAAACATTTCTTATTAATGTAAACCATGATAACTTTTAAGATTTAATGACACTTAGAAAGTCTAAAAGAACATAATTTATCTGAAACATTATAAATGTCTTTCCTGTCCTTGTTGAAAAAAAAAGTATTAATTTATTTGAACAATATATGAATCTGACCCCAAACTTTGGAATGTTAGTGTATATGAACGTAATGAATGACCCTGTTACAAAAGTTTTAAAGTAACTATTTCGATTACCTTGGAGGTAGGCGCTCACGACTCCATTTTCAACAGCCTCTCTGACATCAGCAGGGAGTTGAGCTTTTACTTCCTCCTCAAAAGTCGTGTCACAAGAAGTGCTAGACTCCTGCATCAGAGCATGGACAGCAAGCTCCACAGTAACAACATGCCTCTTGTCTCCCAGAGTACGATCTAACGAGTCTGAAATGATCATACAAATCATACTGTAATTTAGTCTTACTTTAATATTTGTAGACTGTTAGGTTAGGGTTAGTAGAATAAGTTGACATGTACTTGCAAAGGTACTCAAGGCCTATGACGTCTCTGGTTTGGATTGATTATTTAACATTATTTACTGTTTTATATTATTATTATTTTTTATTTTTTTTGTTGGTACTCACTGCTGGTCTTAGGTTCATGTACCGGTATTTGGGTGATAATAGTTGTCTTTGTAGATGTGCAGTAAGATGACCGTTTGCATGGTCTACATGTTTTGCTCATCTGTACAGATTGTTTTCGTGAGCTATATCATGTGATCGACTAATTCTGTGATGGATTTAGAATATTGTTTTTTAATTTTATTCTGGAAATGCAGCATATATACTGAGCCCAAGACAAATTTCCCTAAGGGGACAATAAAGTGTAAACTAAACTAAACCAAACTAAACTCTGGCCCTCGAGATCCGCTTCCCTGCAGAGTTTAGCTCCACCTTCACCTTCCTATAACTTTCTAGTAATCCTGAAGACCTTGAGTAGCTGCTTCAGGTGTGTTTGATTAGGGTTGGAGCTAAACTCTGCAGGACAGTGGAGTTTAGAAGCCCTTTTATAGTCAGTAGAAAGTCTGTTGGGGGAGCATCAAAATAAAGTGTTGACAGTCTACTAATACTCTAAAGGTAAGTTGACATGTAGTTCCAAAGTTACTTCTAGTTAATAGAATGTGTTACCCCAAAAAGAAATGATTAATAAGCACTGCTGATATCAATTGTTTGGGGTCGGTAAGATTTTTTTGTAAAAAAAAAAAAAAAAAAAAACTAATTGTATCACAGTTTCCACACAAATATTAAGCACTACAACTGTTGATAATATTAAGAAATGTTTCGCAAGCAGCAAATCAGCACATTAGAATGATTTCTGAAGGATCATGTGGAGTAATGCCTGCTGTAAACTCGATCTGCCATCACATGAATAAATTACATTTTAAAATGTTTAAATAGAAAAGAGTTACTTTAAATTGTAATAATGTTTCACAATACTACTGTTTTTACTGTATTTTTGATTAAATAAATGCAGCCTTGGTGAACATAAGAGACTTACTGACCCCAAACTTTTGAACAGTGTACACTGAAACAGGGCATGTGACTGGTCATATATGCTGTTTTGTTTTTCCTTTTATTGTTTTATGCCTAGTCTTTACCATGGACAAAGTCTATTGTAACCAACATTTTTACTGAATAATAAAACAGCGAAGCAGACAAACAAAACAGATGAACTGTCACTGGGAAATAGTTTTAATGATTCATCACAGAGGTAGACTGGCATGCAATGATGAGGAGGTGACAGTTTGCATGGCCTTACCTGTGGCAGTTGCTGACTGGACGATGGTCTCTCTGTAGGCCACCTGCAAGGGTCCTAGATGTGTTTCGATGTTGTACTCTCTCTTTATACGGTCATGAATGATCTCAATGTGCAGCTCTCCCATGCCACACAGTACCGTCTGTGTGTGTGTGGTTAAATAAGTGAATAAATAAGTTGTAGAGCAGGAGAAAAAAATACTAAGAAAGTCAATGGGGTCCATCAACTGTTTGGTTACCCATATTCTTCTAAATATCTTATTTCGTGTTCAGGAATTTATACAGGTTTGGAACAACTTGAGGGTGAGTAAATGATGACAGAATTTTTATGTTTGGGTGAAATATCCCTTTGAGGTCCATAGCACAAATGATGCAGGATGAGTTATTTGTCAAAATGTAATACTTAAGTTTAGTGATTTGCACGAAGCCCTAATCCTAAGATGGAACAACAGTAAATATGTAAAGTGTCCCTGTTATGGTTTTTCAGATATGACCTTTCATGTCGGGTGTAAAATAGCGGTTTTTGATTGTAAAAGGTCTGCAAAGTTTCAAAGATCAAAGTGCACAATAAACGGAAAAAAAGAAAACAATTCTGAACTGCCTGAAACAAGCTGTCAGCAATTACTTCTAATTACTCACTTCCTACGTAGGTTTGTGAAAAATAAGCATAATGCTAGCCTATGGTCTTTACTGGCTGCCCACGAATAGAGTCTCCTTTTCCAGGGCTCAGCTACAACTAGTGTTTGAGGGCGAAAACAAATCCACTTTGTATGCACTTTAGACAAGGACAGTAAAACCAACACCATCATTACCGTTCATATCACTGTGTATAAAAGTGCTGAAGTAGCCTCAGAACCTGAAATACAGATAAGTGTTTAATTTCCGACATGCGCTGTAAGCAGTAGTAGACCAATCACAACAGACTGGGACATCTGACCAATCAGAGCAGAGTAGTCTCTCAGGGTGTTGACACTTAGCAGGTTCTGTTAGCACGGTTCATTTGATTAAGTGTGAAAGCTACTAAACGAACTCTAGTGCGGTTCGACTGAAATATGAACGCAACACGGACCAAAGACATCTAAATGAACCAAAAACAGGGCGTGATGTCACAAGATGCGACCAGTTTTTTCTCGTCATAGGAGCAACGTTGCCCTTTACAGTTCAGTACAGTTGTCAGAAACGCAGTCTCCTTCGTTTGTGAGCAATGGAGGAATTGCTGTAGCTGTTTTGACCCCTTTATACATTTTATAAACTTTTCATGAGTTATCAGCTGGCCAAAATACCATCATATACGTCGTGTGCACATACAACGAGCGCCCAGTACACAGCATTGTTTTATATGTTCGTTAAGTTCTGTCACATTTTTTTTTTTTTTGCATCTTTAGGTTCGGCCTTAAAAATGAGATCCTAATGCATGATGGGCAGCTTTGTGCACGTGCTCTCAAGTGGCCAAGACCGCAAGTGTGGGTATTTGGAAATGCCCATTGTTTTTGAAGGGACTTTCAGCATGTTTCCTGTAACAAACGTCCGACATTTACGTTTTATGTGGCGAGAGAAAGTTACATAAACCATGCGAAATCCGATCAGGGCAGTCAGACTGAAACGGATTTCGAGAAATGCGATTTGAATAGGATTTCAAACCACATATGAATGTAGCTCGATAAGGATTTTAAAAAAATCGAATTATGTGATTTTTCGGATATTGCACAAAAATCAGATTTGGACTGACAGTCTGAACGTAGCCTAAATGTATTATGAACCAAGAGGACCGAACTACAAGTGTAAACAAATGACTTTACCTGTCCAGAATCGGGGTCTGTTCTGACTTTCAGACTTGGGTCTTCCCTCTGTAGGCAGTTGAGTGCAT